TGCACACAAAGCCCAATTAAAGAGGCTTCATGCAGAGCTTCACACACTGACTGGATGAACTCCTGTGCCCTTGTGTGTGTACCACGTGCAAGGGAACGGGGACTGCAGCAGCGAGATGCTTGTGTTGCACCCTGAGCCAGCTGGGACAGCATTTCCAGGGGCGTCTGAGTCCACATTCCAGTAGCTTTGTCATCAAATTACTTTATTTCCCCCCATCTTCTGTGTGATGTCCTGTTTGAGCCTGGAGGTGTGTTTGCTTCTTGATAAAGCCATCGGGCATCTCTCAGTTCCAGTGCAACTGTGTCACTGCAGTGGGTAAATGTAGCCTCTCTTTTGTGAGCCCAGAAACCAAAATGCTTAAGTGACTTGGCCAACTCAGTTGGGACTGAAACCCTTTTGGACTTAAAAGAACATCCTTCCTTGCTAAGTACAGACTGCTGGTTATGTTCCCTGTAGACCTGGCAGTGACTGTGGCCTTCATCTGCCTCCCTGTACTTGGTTCACTCATCCTGGAGGAGGCCTGACCCAAAAACCTTTCCACAGAGATGGCTGTACTGCACAAATCATGTCAGTTAGAAAAAGTTTCTTCATCTACTTTGAAGCTACCAGAGAAAAAAACCTTCAGCGTACTGCTGAGAGGTTTTACAGCACTGCTGTCAGTACATGTATGTCAAGGATTTTTGCAAACCTTTGGAATTGTAATTGTAAAGGAGTTGTAGCTTCTATCTCTACCTGCAAATGTGCCCTGTTTTGCTTGGACCACGAACAGCTTGGTTTTGATACTTAGCCTCCCCTCTGTCCACCTGTATGCAGAAGCATACATCCTTGCTAGCCATCTGGCACAAGCTGTGTCTGATGTGGCTTACAATTGGCAGAACATGTCTGTATTTTTTTGCTGAAATTTTTGTTGTTGTTGTTTTGTTATTTCAAGTCCCTGGTCTTGGAGAAGCAGATCTCTAAATAGTTTAGCTCTTTCATTAGCCAGCGGCACCACTCCATGCTGTGCATCAACAAGGCTGGAGAACAAGACTGTCTTTAAATGAAGAAGCCCTGCCTTTTCCTCCCTGCATTCATACAAGTTAAACACGACTTCTTGTTTCTGTCATTCATCCTATTAAGCAAAGTCCAGACTGCCAAGTGAAACCTCGTTTGCCAATTTCCAGGGATGGCAAGCATGTATAGCTGAATCATAAACCCTGAAGGAAGGGCCTTATCTGATGTGGTACACCAGGCCTAATGGGGCTGGTCTATGCAGCTGCATCACCTTGGGTAAGAACTTCATCAGAGCCTCTTATAAATAGCATGCCTGATGTTACATGCATTGTGCCGAAGGACACAGGTGTTTATATTTACAGACCTAGTACTTAACTCCTTTAAGTGATTCTTTGGTGGTAGGATCTAATTGAGCAATACTCTAAACTTGTTTAATTCAGTTTGAAATTCCAGCTCTGCAGGAGGATTTTGGATCAAATGCGGTTTGACTAGTTATCGACAGCCTTCCCTGTAGGATGGGGATGCATTGTGTTGATGATCTAAGAGTAGGAGTGCAAGTGAAGAAAGGCTGTCTTCACTTGTAGCCATTACTACCGAACATGTTGTTCTGATGTTTTACTCACAAAGCCCTAAGTGTCCTTATAAATGTAAAATTTCCTTCTTTTTCCTTGAGCAGATGGAAGACTTAGATGGAAATGAATAAAAACATAATTTGCCAGAGCCCTCAATTAATCATAATCAAGTTTGTGCATGTTATGCTCTACAAGGGTAGCAACAATGAAACACAGGGAGAAAAGGATGCTTTCCTCAGGCAATTCTGAAGACATAAAAGCAATAAAGGAGCATACTTCAAAATAATGTGGAGATATATGACTGCACTAAATAAAAATGCTTCTTTAACGTACTGTAAAAATAAAGATGTTTAGTTAGATTTATCATTCTTGTTATAAATGCAAATTCATCCCCTGGACTGCACCATTGGCTCTGAAATCACCCAAGGGATGGTTAAGGCCCACTATTTTCTGTAATTACTCTAACGTTGTTTAATTTGTTAAAAAGCTAACTAGATTGTTCATTCTTTTTACTCCAAGGTAGTGTATGCTACACCTTGTTCCTGCTTATACAGACATTTTACTAAAGAGCTACATTTGGGCCATTTTTTATTTGATATAGTGAGAAGAACTTGGACTTGTACAAGGCCTTTGACATGGTTCTGCACCACATTCTTATCTATAAATTGGAGGAATATGGATTTGAAGGCTGGACTATCCATTGGATAAAGAGTTAGTTGGATGATTGTAGCCAGAGGGTTGTGGTCAGTGGCTCTGTGTCCAAGGGGAGGCCAGTGACAAGTGTCTATCAGGGTTCCATCTTGTGGACTGGTGTTTAACATCTTTGTCAATGACCTAAACAGTGGGACTGGGTATACCTTCAGCAGGTTTGCTGATGACACCAACCTGAGTGGTACTGGTGACATAGAGGGTGGTGAGGTACTGGGAACAGGTTGTCCACAGAAGGTGTGGAATCCCCATCCCTGGGGACGTTCAGAACCAGGTTGGATGGGAACCCTGAGGCCCCTTCCAACCTAAGACCTTCTATGAATCTATAATATGTGCCTAAGAATGGTTTGCTCATTAGTTTGCATGAATTGCCTTCAAACCTGTGAAAATGCATTTTTAAATTAGCTTTGCATAGAGCAATACATGTTAGCTGAATGCAACCCCACTCCCCAAGTTCTCCACTGTTTGACTTTGGAACATTCATCCAGTGACATTCATTTCTGCAGCCTCATTCAACCATTGCAATGAGCAAATGAAACAATTGTTTTATTTGTAAGAGGAGATTATCCCTTGAAGGCAGATAGAAGGATACTGCCTACAGAACCCTATTTGCAGGCACAAAGAGCGCTTAGTCAATTTTTGGCAGTAATACTGAGCCTATTAGTTTTGGATATGAGTTCGCTGATGTTCAGTGCTGTAGATTTCCAGTTAGTTCATGAAGAGCCTTTAAAATTACACACAGAGCTTCATTAATCGCCTCAGAAAAGAAGCAACAAATATCAGGCCCTCAAAGTGTCTGTGCACAGAATGGCCATTGATTTCAGTGAATATTCCTCAGTGGAAGACTGGTCCTACCTCCTGGGAAGGCAATTACAGCTTTCCCGTTAGTTACAGCAATATGAGAGCTTTTGCAGGATCAGGTCCTATTAGCTGCTGTCTTTCTGTCTGTCTGCTTATCTATTATTAGATATTATTAGATATCTATTATTAGATATTATTAGATGCATTATCTAAATATGTGTTTTATGTACATAATCTGTAACTCAATTTGTTAAAAGTGTAAATCAAAATGGAGACCATCACAAGATAGCAACGATGGGATCTTAAAAAAGAACAAAATCCAAACATAGCTTTGGGCTCCTGAAGTTGGTTGTTTTGGTTTTTTTTTTGGTCCTTTCTCCTTCTATCAGAGGACTGTTTGAATATTTGTTCTACACCAAACTATCCATAAGAGAATTTCCTGTGCCTTCCTTGCAAACTGCACAACCCCATGTGATCCTTGATCACAACAAATTGATTTATTTAAATAAAAGTAATGATCTTCTTTCCTTTAGCCAAGCCCAAAGGCAAAATCCCATGTAACCCTGATCAGCAAATTGATATACTTATCTTCTTTTGCCCTCCTTTCTCAAACCCAAACAATACCACCCTGATCCCCAAGTAATAAGAAAATGATTTATGCAAACAAAAATAATTATCTTTCTTTGCTCTCCCCCCTCTAACTGTATAATCTCAGCAGCTCCTTGTTTAACAAATTGATTTATTTAAATTAAACAAATGGTGATCTTCTTTTGACCTCTGTGGAGCACCTCGGTGGCAAACTCCTATCCTTATCACTACCTTGCCCATACACTTAGAGGGACATATTTTGAAATATAGCAGCATTCCTAACTAACCTTGATACTTTGTGGTATGCTGAATCAAAGTCCATAGAAGCTCTGCTCCTATGCCATGAAAATAGGTTGTATCTCCTCTGAAAAATAATAAATGTGAACGGGATGTACCTTCCTGTGTATTATTGTAGGGCAAGGAAAGTTACTCATCCAGTTCCATATGAGGAACTTGACAGAGGGTGACTCTATGCAGTGTGTCTGCACACATCTCTCCCACTTAGCTACCCATAAGTGCCTGTCCAGATAGAGCTTTTAAACCGCTGGCAAACTCGGTGCTCAAATACGTGCAATGGTGCCTCACCTAAAACTGACAGAGCCATCTAGTGCCAGCCAGATGGTGACAAACATCAGCAGCAGCTGACAGATGAGATCATAAACTCAAAGAATTTCATCCATTAGGTTTTAAGGATCTGTCAAACCACAAGTTGTATTGTAAGGAAGCACAACTTTTCTGGGGAGAAAGAGAGGCAGAGTCTTGCTTTAGAACTGTTAACTCAGTCTTTTTGGGAAAAAACACTCAATGTGTCCACATTTGGAAAACATTCTATGGAAGGTGCATAAATACACAAACATGTTTATGCATTTGTGTACTTTCACTGTGATAGTTTTATTTAAGATTGTGTTTTCTGTGCTGTCCACCAGTATCTCTGTTTTGTGTAGCTGCTACTTAAATAGCCATTTTGGCATTACGCAGAATTACACAATCACATGTGCTACATGCAAAAGTGCAAATAGTCCCACTTAGCACCTAATCATGTGATATCTGTTGTGAAATGATGGTGAAAGAGCCAATAGATATGACTGTTACTTTGCTATTAGCTGTGATTCTTCAGAGGCGAGTACAGCCTGCAGCTGGAATTTAGCATAGATGGAAGAGGGATTAAGTGATAGTGGGAGCCTGAGTGTGTTGTATATAGAAACATTCTTCCCTCATCCCGTTTCTGTGGTGTATATACTCTGAGTAGGACACTGCTGTTAACCAGTCTTCCATATTTTGTAATATTCTGGTATTTTTTTGCAGTTCATTCACACTAGGTGTCTGCTTTGGTTTCAGACTCACTTGTGTCCTCCACCAGAAGACAGTGACATGACACAAATGGTAGCACAGAGCTCTTACTGCTCCATTCAATAAGTGATCCTCCAGGGACAGACTGTGACTCCCCAAAGGTTGCAGGAAGAGGTAAGAATGATCATACAGCATCAAAAGTGTTTCATTCCAAAGCCAGCAGGTTTTCACGCTCTCTAATCCTTCACCTTCAAGGTTTGGAACTCTTTGTGGTCCTCTTAAAATATATGAGAACCAATAAGAATGATTAATGTTATTGTGAAATCATTTCCTTTTTTTTTTTTTTTCCCCAGTAATTTTTAGTCAGTTTTATAATGTTGGGCACTGAATTGGGAATCACTGTGTCAAAAGCTTGGTCATGTCATGTGAACTCTTCATAGGGAATTCAACTGAAATGGAAGAACCTTGCAAAAACTGAACAAGAATTTGCAAAGCAGGATTACAGGCACTTTTGAAGCTTTTCAAATCTCACTCTTGTCTCCTTCTAGTTTGAATATATTTTTTTGTTCTCCTGAAAGTCAAATAATTGAGGTTTTTGCATCTGATCCTTTGAATATATGGTCTCAGAATATCCTTGTGTATCTGCTTCAAAAAATTCAATTTCATAGAGCTTTAGGCTCTGATCCTCATCACGCATTACCTTTACCCCGACTACAGGAATAGAACTGATACGAAACTTAGACTGTGGTGCTTTGCAAAAATGTTACCATGGCAAAAAAAATATTAAAATTCTGAAAGATTGTGGCAGCCTTTTAAAAAATTTGGCCCTCTCTGTCATCTTGCCAGAGAGGTAAGTATTTCTTCTGCAGACAGGTTGGAGTTAGTGGGACATGAAATAATGTCAATGGTAATGGTAAGAGGATTAAACTGCAGTTCTGCTGTTATTGAACAGTTTGCAGAGACCACATTAAACAGCCACATCAGTCCGCAGGTCAGCCCTGCAGTTCCACTAAGCAAACACAGATGCAGAGTTCCCTTTCATGGTCATCATTTCATGCCTTTGACATCCCTACACTGTCGGGACTCAGTGGTGTATTTACAGCCTGAACATTAAAGATTCCTTTTTTTTGAATCCTGAGTGGATACCAACAATTAAATCAGTAGTAACGAGAAAAGGGGGGACACTTGGATGGACTTTAGTGCAATACAAACAAATAAGGGAAAAATTAAGCTGCTAGAACATTCTCTGATGGGGAACTTTGGGGACTTCTTCAGTTGCTGACAAAAATTCTCTTTCAGAATCTAGTTGGTTTTAAATCTCTTTTCTTTGGGGCTGATATCTGCATTTTGCCAAAGCTGATCTTGAAGTTGCAGTGGTTGAATTTCACAAGGCTAGTGCAGTTCAGCTCATGTCAACACTGCCAGGCCTTTGTGCTTGTTCAAAGCTTGTGTGAGTCCACTGGGACTACAAATTGGCCAGAAGAGATTGAGGGAGCAATCTGTCTTACAATATTCCTTTCCTTTTCCATTTCAACAGAAACTTTGGCAGTTCTTTAACATTTTCCTTAGTTTTTTTGTTTGTCAGAAATGAACCAAATAAACAAAGCAATTACGTGATGTGTATATATATATATATATATATATATATATATATATTTATAAACACATACATTTGTGTAGGAAGGACAGAATATGGCAGATTTTTGTTTTGTCTGAATGGTTTTACATGGCTTAGTCCTGCAGTTTTCAAGTAATGATAGGAATACAGCTAAGCTGAGTGTCAGGGTAGTCCTACAGAATGTAAAGATTATTGACAAAGAGTTCTTACAGAAAGGAGAAAATAAATCAGCTGATGAATTACAGAGCCTTTGGTCAATAATTGTTTAATATGACACAAATTTTAAGTGAAATTTACAGCATACAAGCACTCCACAGGTAGCCACTTCTTCCTACGACATGAAATAAACATGCAACCAGAGAGTGTAGCAGTGAATTACATTCAACCTCAGAAATGCTTTAGTATGTCTTCAAGAGCTGCTGCCTGCTTCAGTGATGGATTATAACTTAGCATGGGATCCCACAGGCATGGTAAGGTATTTATGTAGTCTTATGATTGCTCAGACACTTGGAACAAATGTATAGCTGATGCTGACAGAAATCAGAGTATTGCTATCTCCCACTTTATTTCATTTATTTGTATTTAGCAAGTGCTGGAATGCAGCAAGCCACCAAGCACAACTGCAGCTGGAATATGGTTTCCAGAGCTTATTTACAGTAGCTCTTATTCACAACGGGTAGTGGTATTTCACTCCATATGTATTTCCATTGATGTCAGGGGGTCCATTAGCAGAAAGAGGTGCCATTCTGTGTAGCTGACTATCAGTTTGGTCCCATGTTTGAAAAGCTTGTGTATTGTTCTGTTTGTAAATGTGTTTACAGTTTGAAAAAAGCCCTATGCCTGATCCTCACCAAAAGGCTAACAACACTGTGAAATGTTGATGAAGTTGGTAGGGTGCAGGTTTTGCAGTATTTCATTGCTTTGCAGGAAACAATTCTACATGCTCTTTATTTAGTATTGGACAGATCTGTTTTCCACGTGCTATTTTGAGCTCCGTGCTTAAACTGATCCAAAATTCAAAGAGAAAAGAAAAAGCTGAGATTCACTTCAGCAGCAAACAATGTCAGGTGATGTTGATTTAAAGAAAACATTAATCAATCCAGATTTGCCTGGAACTGGGCCCAGGTTCACTCAACAGGTTGGTGAACCTTAGCAAATCTTCCAGTGAATCTGTTCTGTGTTTTGACTTTGTAACACGATCTGAAATCATCTGAGTTTCATGAGGTTTTGTTGTGCACATTTTGGAACACTGGTGGGGGAGTGAATCTTGGGAAACACAGAGATGCTACATTTTGCATGATGTGACAAGGTAAACTGTATTTCACTCTTCCTGACACTCCTTGATACCAAGTTGAAGAACGGTGTTGATGCTGTCAGCTTAGTATTAAAAGAGGAGACTATCACTATCTGTCAGTATTCCTGTGTCTACAGTGGTCTTAGATTCAGAGCCAAAATACAGTCTTCAAATTGTACTCTACATGACAGTATAGTTAGTTGTGTACTGTTATTTTTTCCCCTTGTTTGGGGTAAATGCCAGAATTTTTCCTGCATAGACAGATTCTGGAGTTGTGAGGAAGGTGTTAGGTCTTTTGATGTATGCTGGTTTGAAAAAGTTATGTAGTGCTAGAAAAGATTAGGATTTTATTACGAGCCTGTGGATAAACAACTTATGCTTTAACTCTGTTCTGAATTCATAAATAGGTGTACCTGGCCTCCACAGCTGAGTATGAAATATTTAAGGTCCATCTACACCCATCAGGTCAAATATATGATAAGGTGACATTTTCTATTAATTTTATTTCTACTCTGAGCTAGAGCCCAGAGCAATAGAGATGTGAGACACTCAACACATGAAACAAAACCTGGCTCTTCAGTGCCTGCCAATTTTTTCATTCTGATTTAGAGGGAGCACCAGAATCATTTTGCTGGAGCTGGGATTTTAGAGAGAAGGGCTGATAGAAGAAGCTATGAACTTTTTGGCACTGATTTGTTGCCTCATACTTGAGATAGACCTGTAGGTCATATTACGAGAGATGGCCTAGAGAAAGGAGGATGACAGTGCATGGAGGGTGGGTCAGTGAGTGTAGCCTACTCTCCTAGCATGTATACAAGGTCAAACTGGCGAATTTAATGGTCTTTTCTGAACTGAGAAATCTCTAAAGAGGGAAAAATCAAAGTCTGCAAAGGTAATAATTAAGAAAAAATATAACAGGCTGCAGTGTCCTCCAATGCCCCTGTGGTTCTTCCCCTCCTAACCCAACACACGGGCAGTGATTCAGCCACAGATTGACTTGTTCTGTCAGTCAACTTAGAAGTACAGCAGGAAGGAAAAACAGTTTGCCAATAATATTCAAGCTGAAGCTGACATCTTTATTTTCCTCTAAAAGAGTTGCGTTTGCACCCGCTTGTATCACTGCATTTTTCCACTAAGGTTGTCTCACTTATTTAACTTGACACACAGAGCACCCCTCAGAGGTCTTTGAGATTCAAACCAGCATTGGAAGTGACAGCCCAGATAACGTGGGTAATCAAGTTGGACCTTGTGGGACTGCACTGACTACTTTTTAATTGATAATTCCAGGTTCCTATAATAAATTTATTTCTTAATTATATTCACCGTGTCATACATGGTAGCTAATGATTACCACTAGTTTAAGTTTGCAGCCTTAGAAGACGTGTTCCCCTCCCCCAGTATTTAATCACAATTTTCCTTCTAAATTAAGATTTTCTGACAAAGAAAACAGACCAAAACTGCACATTAAATCCAATTCCTCCCAAATAAATGAAGGTAAATTTTAGGTACTAAATTAGATAAGTGATTTTAATTAGCTAATCATTTCATGAAGATCATAAAGCATTTAAATAACACTGAAGTTATGTATATTTAAGCAGTTTTATGGAGAATTAAAGTCTTAAGTGGTAAATTTAAAATGTAAATACAAAAGTGAATGTTGGAATGTTAATTGCTTTTCCTGAGTTTCTCACATGGCCTGAGATGTTACAGGAGGAATCAAGAATTACAATCATAGTAATAATGTGGCCAATCTAAAGCTTATTAAAGTCCTTGGATTCTTTCCATGAAGTTTAGCAGCCATTGCCCCAAAACAACAAATGCTTTTACATGTCTGACTTACAGCACTGTTAAAGTTTCTTGTGTATTACAACTGTACATGTGATGTCAGTATTCTTAAATAACCACACATTTCTAGTGTAAGCTTCCTTTTAGAAGCCAAGAAATTTTAGTTGACCTGAAGAACTTACCTGATAGTCTTTGAAAAATACATCTTGGCAGTAACAGCCATTTACACCATCAGATCAGTTCACATCAGAAGAAAAATTTACCTACTAGGAGAAGCTGATGCATTCAGTCAACAAAGCTCAGCAACAGACCGGGTCATTATTAGTATGAATTCTCACATGCCTGTCCTTAACTCAGTGAAGCTTTACGTTGGTTTTGATTCAATATATAGTTAAAAATAGTTAAAATTGAAACTTAATTTTACAGTTTTGTTGCTCATAATGTTGGAAACTAATAGGTTAAAATCAGGAAAGTAAG